AAGTCTTTTTAGTTGGGACTTTTAATGCTTTTCCTTTTTTATTACTGTCGTTATAATCATTATTAAAATTATTTTTATCATTATTTTCAGTTTCTATTTTGTTACATTCTTTAGATTTTTTACCTTTTTCGTCTTTATTCTTTTGTGTGTAAGTCATTATTTTTTAAGTTTTATCCTTACTGATTTATACAATTTTTTTTTCAACCGAGTGGATTTCCTAGTACATAGGGACGGCCTGACGATCAGAATTATCTGGAAACGCCAAGTCCCTTTTGTCTTTACTTTTTTTCTTAATTAGTTAATTACATGCTTTAATCCAATGAAGGAACAAGTGAGGGAAAACTTGACTTTGATAATAAGTTAAGTTAAACCTGTCAAGGGTCTTGTGATTTCTTGAGAGATGTAGGAATAGTGAACGTTGACAAGCTGGGCAGACTGTGATGTGAAGAGGCTAAGCGTAGACGACTGACACCTGTTGCATGGATGATGATAATGATAATGACGATGATGCCTACCATGATGCTGAAGATGATGATGACGCCGGTGATGTTGAGAATGATGATTACGCTGAAGATAATGGTGACGATGATAATAACGATGATGATAATGATAATGAAGATGACGTCGCTGACAATGATGATGATAATGACGACGATCATTGTAATGACGATGACGGTGATTATGAATATGATGCGGAAAATGATAGTGATAACGATGATGATGATGATGACGTTCTTAAGAAATTTGTCCTCTGATGAAAAAACTCAGAAGCCCAGTAATTGGCTATGGCGTCATTAAAATTGGTGAGTATCAGAACAGTAATCTTTGTTTTTCTTCAACACCCAACTGCTCCTCAGTCTTCTCCCTTCTCTCACTCAAATATCTACGAGGAAAGCGCATAGGACATCCATTCCCGGCATGCCGTAATAGTCTGTCTCCCGCAACCGTTCTGTGACCAAGACGGACAAGAGAAGCAGCTGGGGACGATTCGGCTTCGATAGGGTAAACGCAAAGACCTAAAAACTGCAACGGGAGGAGTGAGAGATAGCTAATGAAAGATAATGTGTCGCGCGTTAAACTAGAGATTTTGACTTGCTTCAGTCGTCAGCTTTCCCTGTTTTACTTATTAAAACTGTGGACTGCAAAACGAGGATAAAAACTAGGCAAGCTTAACTAACACACCTTGTTATATTCAAAACTCCATCAAATGGATCTTGCCATTGATCGCACTTACCTCTACGACAGAATTAAGACTATATATTCTGAAATACACGACCAAAATAACTCTGCAGTAGTAGCAAAATAAACTTTGGAGAACCTTCTTTAAAACTCAAGCAATTAAGGTATCTTCCGTTTTTGTCCCAACAGCTTTCAGGAGAAGAATGCTGTTGGGTGTATTCATATATCATATTGGAGGATGAGTGTTGATGTACGCTACCCTTGCTACTACCCTACGTCACTGCAGCACGAGAAACCAAGAATAATGTTTATATTAGACTCAAGTTTAAACAGACTGCTTTCCGCCAAGCTCTCGCTTGCTTTCGCAGGCTTTTCGACAGCAAACATCTTTGAATAAATCGGATTCACCTTCTACAGGTTTCACTTCGACAATTTTTCATCTCCTAAACTTTTATGCCATATTTAACTTTGTAAACTGGCTATTTTAAAACAGCAGTGCGTTTGAACTTGAGTCTATGTGATGAAGAACTAGTAAATTTTTCTCGGCCAATAAATCGCTACGTACTAATTGATCGAGCTCTTTCAAAACCTTAAAAAAATTGTAGTTTTTATCCTAGAGTTTTTAAACTCTATAAAACGAGCAAATCCTATGAGGTCACCAAACAAATAAAAATGTTTTACGTGTTTTAGCAGCGTTTTTTTCTACATTTAGGATTTTACGAAGTAAAGAGAGTAAATGGATATTTATGAAGTGTAATAAGAAACTGTCTAGAGTGACAGAGTTCCTAAAAGACCCTGAAAGAGGCCGTTTTTTTGTTGTTTTTATTTTCTGTTTCATGAAAAATGAACTCGGAACTAGCAAATGTGGGAGCCATTATGTAAAGGAAGAAAGCTATTTTACAAATGGAAGACGTTTTTGCGTATAGTTCTTGCAATGCTGAATTTATAAATTCGGCTACAAAAATTAGAGCGTTACTTGTAACTTGTGAATTCTTCTTAATTAATGCCACAAACGCTGATTTTTATCGCTTAACATGTAACAAAAACCGCAATAACTTTCTAATGCATGAAGATCTTCAGAGGTTCCCGGAAAAATCTTTTTCCTGATCTGAATTTGTCTGCAAAAAAAAAAACTAATAGCGCCTATCTGCTAAGTGAACAGCAGTGCTTCATAGCTTTCACCTTTTACATTGATCTAATAAAAATAATTTAATATCGATTTTTGGGAGCAAAAGCGCTTTGATATCATTGCTCGAGCACTTTAAAAGGGCGACGCAAATTTAAATCGAGGCATTCGAGGGTCAGCCTCGCCAAAAATATTCATTTATTTACCTTAGCATTAATTTTTTTTTCTTGCGTTTATATACGGTTGGCCTTAAAACTCCAAAGGCGTCACTATAGCACTGGTTGGGGGTACACGGTTCCCATTTTTCCAAAATAAATTGGTTTTGGGGTTTACGTGTCCGTCTATGGTGTAATCATTGTATTTTATCGCATTTTAGTTGTTGTATTCTTAACAATAAAGTATGATGGAGCTTGTTGAAAAAACTGTTTGCTTGTTTTTTCTTAATGTTCTTGTAACGGGAACACCAGATGCTGATTGGTGGGCGCAAAATATTTTTTCTCGACTTGAACCTCAATATAGTGTTTTCAGTTATCGTAAATGGTCGATTAAGCGCCGCTACTCGAATAAGCGCAGCTCTAGAATAAGCGCCGCGGCGCTAATTTGAGTATTTACAAATTAACGCTTCACCGCCGCGACGCTTAATCGACCATTTTACGGTACGTCGCCAGTAGCTAGGTAAATCCATTATAACAAATGAAAGTGTAAACGACAGAAACGAGGACCTGGTTTGGGACACCAACATGAGCGCCGTTTTATTGGTTCAGTTGGCTGGTTGGGACACCAATATTGTGGTCCTGAAGGCTGTAGAGGCAACCACTATAGTAGATGTGCGAAACAATACCGTGACGTCACAACCTTTCGGCTTTGAGCAGATTATGCAAGCCTGACGCATGCAAGCTACGAGTCCTCTTCAGCATGTTAATAGCTATCGCCATGATAGAAATTACTGTTAAAAGTAAGCTAATTTAACGAACTTTTAACGGTAGTTAGTCTTGTACCCTGAAGAAGGCAGCATTACCGAAACGTCGGTTTAAGACTCGTGAACAGCGTCGATTTCACAATTTTCAAGTAACATAAAAACCTAAACTACTAAGGCAATAAATGATTTAAATATCAAGTTTAAGAAAGCTAAAAATGTTCTGTAATTTTCTAAAACTCTCAGGCGAGCATTTACTCGAATTAACACTTAAATAAAAACTTAAATGAGTAAGATGTCCAAAAAACGCCAAAATTTCACAGTTTCTTGGTATGTATCACGTATCGTTTGTCTGGCTTACAGCGCCCCCACTTTATACTGAGAGAAATACCCAAAGACACATGCCATCAACGCCCATCAACTTACTGATCGACTTACGTCAAGAGAGGGTGGTATCCTCTTTTCCTTACGTTGAACAACCCACCCCTCCGAAAAGGGCCAGGTCTTCTTAGTACTGCTAGGAGAGGGCTGGGGGCAGAGCACGGGAAACGCACAGTAACCGATGGAAAGGGTTCCCTTAATAAGCCCCTCCATGTAGAAGCCCCTACAAATAAGGCCTTTTGAAAAATATAATCCCAGGGGCTTCTTTTCAGAATTTTACAGTAGCTTCAATCTCGTTTCCAGAGGCCGCGGTCCTTCCATCCAGAGTAAGAAAGTGTTTGTTTTAAACACTTTTAAAAACACTTTCTAAAAACATGTTTAAAGAAAGTGTTTTTTAAAAAGTGTAGCTTGCGAAGTTCGGGCATGCGCAGAAAGCAAAATTTCGAGTTTTTGGGTTTAAATGTGACACAGCGGTCTTGACTTTTAGTTTTCGATTTCTCTCCTTCCATCGTTATTCCCTTTTCTTGTCTTATTTTTTTTTATCTTTTCCTGGCCTTTTAGTGGACTTCGGTTTCGTGGGAAAGCTTTTAGAATCTTCAAATTAGACGACAGGAAAGGTAGGTGGGATCGGTGCAACAGGGATAAATTTTCAGCTGCAGACCCCACAATGATCGTTTTTTGCCTATTTCTGTGGTGTCCTTAACTAAATTAATCGTGCTCATTCCGATACGGTTTAAAAGATCTCTTCACAGTACACACAAGTGAGCGGACAAAGCTTAATCCTTCACAATTCAAACCAATCATGCATTTCACCACTATACCTAGCACTGAAGAAATTTGAGGAAATTAGTTTTTGGCCTTGGATTAGTGCTATAGATCAGATCATGCAGTTTCAAGATTCCTAAGGTTATAGTTGACTTAACCATCATTGAGTTTTGTAAAGGATCAAGACTCTCACATGGGGAGAAGGTAATGATCATAGAGGATATTGTACGTTAGGGTAGCCCTATCCTTGGTTTGCAACCATGTGACAAGGCGGCCATGTTGGTGGTCAAAAGAATAGAATTTTTTCTGGAAGAATTTACATGAAAATAGAGTTTAGCTCCCAGAGGAGAGGAAAGCTTTTGTTCTTGTGAGCACCAACATGGCCACCGTGACGTGATGTGCGTGCAAACCAGCTCTTCTATAAAATAATGCCTGATTTTGAGGCTTTTCTATTTCAATTTATCAATCTACCAATCTAATGGCATAATGGTAAACTCGTAATGTCTTTACCTGTACAGTTTGGACTTATTTTGTGATTTATCTTTCAGTTGCTCTCTACAAGTATTCGACACGGACAAACAGTTATAAAAGTAAGTAACGGGCGTAACATGAGGTTATAGGGGTTACAAAAGGTTACTCGGGATTACAGGAGTTACAAGGGGTTACAAGAGGTTACAGGGGGTTACAAGGGGTTACAGGGGGTTACAAAGGGTTACAGGGGGTTACAAGGGGTTACAAGAGGTTACAGGGGGTTACAAGGGGTTACAGGGGGTTACAAAGGGTTACAGGGGGTTACAAGGGGTTACAAGAGGTTACAGGGGGTTACAAGGGGTTACAGGGGTTACAAAGGGGGGTTACAGGGGGTTACAAGGGGTTACAGGGGGTTACAAAGGGTTACAGGGGGTTACAAGGGGTTACAGGAGGTTACAGGAGGTTACAGGGGGTTACAAGGGGTTACAGTGGGTTACAAAGGGTTACAGGGGGTTACAAGGGGTTACAAGGGGTTACAGACAGTACCAGATGGTTACAGATGATTACAGGGGTGTTGCAATGGGTTATAGGGTGGTTAATAACTACAACATGAAATTATTTACCTGCACTAGCCTCACACAACAAAAGCTGATTTCCAGGTTGGGCGTAGGCAACCACACATAACAATTGAAATTAGAAGCAGTATGGTGTTCACTATCGGAATGCAAATTTTTTATGAAATTTTTACAGGGTAATTAAGCTTAAGTAAAAATTTACACATTTCAGGTAGTTTACTATGTATGTAATGGTGGGCAAAAGTTCTTGTAGAATATAATGACTTTAATTCAGCTTTAAGATATTTATACGCATACAAACTTAAAAATCAGAGAGATCCAGCAAAAGGCAAAGAGCAAGAAGTTTGCTTTTAAATTCTGAAACCAGCTGTGCTCTTTTTGCATGGTAAGAAAGATTGTTCCAGAGCATTGGTTTCACCACTATACCTAGCACTGCATGTGTGTTTGAGGAAATTAGTTTTTGGCCTTGGATTAGTGCTATAGATCAGATCATGCAGTTTCAAGATTCGTAAGGTTATAGTTGACTTAACCATCATTGAGTTTTGTAAAGGATCAAGACTCTCACATGGGGAGAAGGTAATGATCATAGAGGATATTGTACGTTAGGGTAGCCCTATCCTTGGTTTGCAACCATGTGACAAGGCGGCCATGTTGGTGGTCAAAAGAATAGAATTTTTTCTGGAAGAATTTACATGAAAATAGAGTTTAGCTCCCAGAGGAGAGGAAAGCTTTTGTTCTTGTGAGCACCAACATGGCCACCGTGACGTGATGTGCGTGCAAACCAGCTCTTCTATAAAATAATGCCTGATTTTGAGGCTTTTCTATTTCAATTTATCAATCTACCAATCTAATGGCATAATGGTAAACTCATAATGTCTTTACCTGTACAGTTTGGACTTATTTTGTGATTTATCTTTCAGTTGCTCTCTACAAGTATTCGACACGGAAAAACAGTTAGAAAAGTAAGTAACGGGCGTAACATGAGGTTATAGGGGTTACAAAAGGTTACTCGGGATTACAGGAGTTACAAGGGGTTACAAGAGGTTACAGGGGGTTACAAGGGGTTACAGGGGGTTACAAAGGGGTTACAAGGGGTTACAAAAAGGGTTACAGGGGTTACAAGGGGTTACAAGGGGTTTACAGGGGTTTACAAGGGGTTACAGGGGTTACAAAGGGGTTACAAGGGGGGGGTTACAGGGGGTTACAGGGGGTTACAAGGGGGTTACAAGGGGTTACAGGAGGGTTACAGGAGGTTACAGGGGGTTACAAGGGGTTACAGAGGGTTACAAGGGGTTACAAGGGATTACAAGGGGTTACAGGGGTTTACAAGGGGTTACAAGGGGTGACAGACAGTGCCAGATGGTTACAGATGATTACAGGAGTGTTGCAATGGGTTATAGGGTGGTTAATAACTACAACATGAAATTATTTACCTGCACGAGCCTCACACAACAAAAGCTGATTTCCAGGTTGGGCGTAGGCAACCACACATAACAATTGAAATTAGAAGCAATATGGTGTTCACTATCGGAATGCAAATTTTTATGAAATTTTTACAGGGTAATTAAGGTTAAGTAAAAATTTACACATTTCAGGTTGTTTACTGTGTATGTAATGGTGGGCAAAAGTTCTTGTAGAATATAATGACTTTAATTCAGCTTTAAGATATTTATATGCATACAAATTTAAAAGTCAGAGAGATCCAGCAAAAGGCAAAGAGCAAGAAGTTTGCTTTTAAATTCTGAAACCAGCTGTGCTCTTTTTGCATGGTAAGAAAGATTGTTCCAGAGCATTGGTTTCACCACTATACCTAGCACTGCATGTGTGTTTGAGGAAATTAGTTTTTGGCCTTGGATTAGTGCTATAGATCAGATCATGCAGTTTCAGGATTCCTAAGGTTATAGTTGACTTAACCATCATTGAGTTTTGTAAAGGATCAAGACTCTCACATGGGGAGAAGGTAATGATCATAGAGGATATTGTACGTTAGGGTAGCCCTATCCTTGGTTTGCAACCATGTGACAAGGCGGCCATGTTGGGGGTCAAAAGAGTAGAATTTTTACTGGAAGAATTTACATGAAAATAGAGTTTAGCTCCCAGTGGAGAGGAAAGCTTTTGTTCTTGTGAGCACCAACATGGCCACCGTGACGTGATGTGCATGCAAACCAGCTCTTCTATAAAATAATGCCGGATTTTGAGGCTTTTCTATTTCAATTTATCAATCTACCAATCTAATGGCATAATGGTAAACTCGTAATGTCTTTACCTGTACAGTTTGGACTTATTTTGTGATTTATCTTTCAGTTGCTCTCTACAAGTATTCGACACGGACAAACAGTTATAAAAGTAAGTAACGGGCGTAACATGAGGTTATAGGGGTTACAAAAGGTTATTCAGGGATTACAGGAGTTACAAGGGGTTACAAGAGGTTACAGGGGTTACAAGGGGTTACAGGGGGGTTACAAAGGGTTACAGGGGGTTACAAGGGGTTACAAGGGTTACAGGGGTTTTTACAAGGGGTTACAGGGGGTTACAAAGGGTTACAGGGGTTACAAGGGGTTACAAGAGGTTACAGGGGGTTACAAGGGGTTACAGGGGGGATTACAAAGGGTTACAGGGGGTTACAAAAGGGGTTACAAGGGGTTACAGGGGGGTTACAAGGGGTTACAGGGGGGTTACAGGGGGTTACAAGGGGGGGTTACAAGGGGGGGGTTACAAGGGGGTTACAGAGGGTTACAAGGGGTTACAAGGGATTACAAGGGGTTACAGGGGGTTACAAGGGGTTACAAGGGGTGACAGACAGTACCAGATGGTTACAGATGATTACAGGGGTGTTGCAATGGGTTATAGGGTGGTTAATAACTACAACATGAAATTATTTACCTGCACTAGCCTCACACAACAAAAGCTGATTTCCAGGTTGGGCGTAGGCAACCACACATAACAATTGAAATTAGAAGCAGTATGGTGTTCACTATCGGAATGCAAATTTTTTATGAAATTTTTACAGGGTAATTAAGCTTAAGTAAAAATTTACACATTTCAGGTAGTTTACTATGTATGTAATGGTGGGCAAAAGTTCTTGTAGAATATAATGACTTTAATTCAGCTTTAAGATATTTATACGCATACAAACTTAAAAATCAGAGAGATCCAGCAAAAGGCAAAGAGCAAGAAGTTTGCTTTTAAATTCTGAAACCAGCTGTGCTCTTTTTGCATGGTAAGAAAGATTGTTCCAGAGCATTGGTTTCACCACTATACCTAGCACTGCATGTTTGTTTGAGGAAATTAGTTTTTGGCCTTGGATTAGTGCTATAGATCAGATCATGCAGTTTCAAGATTCCTAAGGTTATAGTTGACTTAACCATCATTGAGTTTTGTAAAGGATCAAGACTCTAGCTCACATGGGGAGAAGGTAATGATCATAGAGGATATTGTACATGAGGGTAGCCCTATCCTTGGTTTGCAACCATGTGACAAGGCGGCCATGTTGGGGGTCAAAAGAATAGAATTTTTTCTGGAAGAATTTACATGAAAATAGAGTTTAGTTCCCAGAGGAGAGGAAAGCTTTTGTTCTTGAGCACCAACATGGCCGCCATGACGTGATGTGCGTGCAAACCAGCTCTTCTATAAAATAATGCCTGATTTTGAGGCTTTTCTATTTCAATTTATCAATCTACCAATCTAATGGCATAATGGTAAACTCATAATGTCTTTACCTGTACAGTTTGGACTTATTTTGTGATTTATCTTTCAGTTGCTCTCTACAAGTATTCGACACGGAAAAACAGTTATAAAAGTAAGTAACGGGCGTAACATGAGGTTATAGGGGTTACAAAAGGTTACTCGGGATTACAGGAGTTACAAGGGGTTACAAGAGGTTACAGGGGGTTACAAGGGGTTACAGGGGGTTACAAAGGGTTACAGGGGGTTACAAGGGGTTACAGGGGGTTACAGGGGGTTACAAGGGGTTACAGGGAGTTAGAAAGGGTTACAGGGGGTTAAAGGGGTTACAGGGGTTACAGGGGGTTACAAGGGGTTACAGGGGTTACAAGGGGTTACAAAGGGTTACAAGGGGTTACAGGAGGTTACAAGGGGTTACAAGGGGTTACAGGGGTTACAAGGGGTTACAGGGGGTTACAAGGGGTTACAGGGGTTACAAGGGTTACAAAGGGTTACAGGGGGTTACAAGGGGTTACAAGGGGTTACAAGGGGTTACAGACAGTACCAGATGGTTACAGATGATTACAGGGGTGTTGCAATGGGTTATAGGGTGGTTAATAACTACAACATGAAATTATTTACCTGCACTAGCCTCACACAACAAAAGCTGATTTCCAGGTTGGGCGTAGGCAACCACACATAACAATTGAAATTAGAAGCAGTATGGTGTTCACTATCGGAATGCAAATTTTTTATGAAATTTTTACAGGGTAATTAAGCTTAAGTAAAAATTTACACATTTCAGGTAGTTTACTATGTATGTAATGGTGGGCAAAAGTTCTTGTAGAATATAATGACTTTAATTCAGCTTTAAGATATTTATACGCATACAAACTTAAAAATCAGAGAGATCCAGCAAAAGGCAAAGAGCAAGAAGTTTGCTTTTAAATTCTGAAACCAGCTGTGCTCTTTTTGCATGGTAAGAAAGATTGTTCCAGAGCATTGGTTTCACCACTATACCTAGCACTGCATGTTTGTTTGAGGAAATTAGTTTTTGGCCTTGGATTAGTGCTATAGATCAGATCATGCAGTTTCAAGATTCCTAAGGTTATAGTTGACTTAACCATCATTGAGTTTTGTAAAGGATCAAGACTCTAGCTCACATGGGGAGAAGGTAATGATCATAGAGGATATTGTACATGAGGGTAGCCCTATCCTTGGTTTGCAACCATGTGACAAGGCGGCCATGTTGGGGGTCAAAAGAATAGAATTTTTTCTGGAAGAATTTACATGAAAATAGAGTTTAGTTCCCAGAGGAGAGGAAAGCTTTTGTTCTTGAGCACCAACATGGCTGCCGTGACGTGATGTGCGTGCAAACCAGCTCTTCTATAAAATAATGCCTGATTTTGAGGCTTTTCTATTTCAATTTATCAATCTACCAATCTAATGGCATAATGGTAAACTCATAATGTCTTTACCTGTACAGTTTGGACTTATTTTGTGATTTATCTTTCAGTTGCTCTCTACAAGTATTCGATACGGAAAAACAGTTATAAAAGTAACTAACGGGCGTAACATGAGGTTATAGGGGTTACAAAAAGGTTACTCAGGGATTACAGGAGTTACAAGGGGTTACAAGAGGTTACAGGGGGTTACAAAGGGTTACAAGGGGGGTTACAAAGGGGTTACAAAAGGTTACAAAAGGGGTTACAAAGGGGGGGGTACAGGGGGTTACAGGGGGTTACAAGGGGTTACAGGGGGTTACAAAGGGTTACAGGGGTTACAAGGGGTTACAGGGGGTTACAGGGGGTTACAAGGGGGGGGTTACAAGGGGTTACAGGGGGTTACAAAGGGGGTTACAGGGGTTACAGGGGGTTACAAACAGGGGTTACAGGGGTTACAAGGGGTTACAAGGGGGTTACAAGGGGTTACAAGGGGTTACAAGGGGGGGGTTACAGGGGGTTTACAAGGGGTTACAAGGGGTGACAGACAGTACCAGATGGTTACAGATGATTACAGGGGTGTTGCAATGGGTTATAGGGTGGTTAATAACTACAACATGAAATTATTTACCTGCACTAGCTTCACACAACAAAAGCTGATTTCCAGGTTGGGCGTAGGCAACCACACATAACAATTGAAATTAGAAGCAATATGGTGTTCACTATCGGAATGCAAATTTTTTATGAAATTTTTACAGGGTAATTAAGGTTAAGTAAAAATTTACACATTTCAGGTAGTTTACTGTGTATGTAATGGTGGGCAAAAGTTCTTGTAGAATATAATGACTTTAATTCAGCTTTAAGATATTTATATGCATACAAATTTAAAAGTCAGAGAGATCCAGCAAAAGGCAAAGAGCAAGAAGTTTGCTTTTAAATTCTGAAACCAGCTGTGCTCTTTTTGCATGGGAAGAAAGATTGTTCCAGAGCATTGGTTTCACCACTATACCTAGCACTGCATGTTTGTTTGAGGAAATTAGTTTTTGGCCTTGGATTAGTGCTATAGATCAGATCATGCAGTTTCAAGATTCCTAAGGTTATAGTTGACTTAACCATCATTGAGTTTTGTAAAGGATCAAGACTCTCACATGGGGAGAAGGTAATGATCATAGAGGATATTGTACATGAGGGTAGCCCTATCCTTGGTTTGCAACCATGTGACAAGGCGGCCATGTTGGGGGTCAAAAGAATAGAATTTTTTCTGGAAGAATTTACATGAAAATAGAGTTTAGTTCCCAGAGGAGAGGAAAGCTTTTGTTCTTGAGCACCAACATGGCCGCCGTGACGTGATGTGCGTGCAAACCAGCTCTTCTATAAAATAATGCCTGATTTTGAGGCTTTTCTATTTCAATTTATCAATCTACCAATCTAATGGCATAATGGTAAACTCATAATGTCTTTACCTGTACAGTTTGGACTTATTTTGTGATTTATCTTTCAGTTGCTCTCTACAAGTATTCGACACGGAAAAACAGTTATAAAAAGTAAGTAACGGGCGTAACATGAGGTTATAGGGGTTACAAAAGGTTACTCGGGATTACAGGAGTTACAAGGGGTTACAAGAGGTTACAGGGGTTACAAGGGGTTACAGGGGGTTACAAAGGGTTACAGGGGGTTAAAAAGGTTACAAGGGGTTACAAGGGGTTACAAGGGGTTACAGGGGTTACAAAGGGTTACAGGGGGGGTTACAAAGGGGTTACAGGGGTTACAGGGGTTACAAGGGGGTTACAGGGGGTTACAAAAGGGTTACAGGGGGTTACAAGGGGTTACAGGGGGTTACAAGGGGTTACAAGGGGTTACAGGGGGTTACAGGGGTTAGGGGTTACAGGGGGTTACAAGGGGTTACAGGGGGTTACAAAGGGTTACAAGGGGTTACAAGGGGTTACAAGGGGTTACAGGGGGTTACAAGGGGTTACAAGGGGTTACAGACAGACAGTACCAGATGGTTACAGATGATTACAGGGGTGTTGCAATGGGTTATAGGGTGGTTAATAACTACAACATGAAATTATTTACCTGCACTAGCCTCACAACAAAAGCTGATTTCCAGGTTGGGCGTAGGCAACCACACATAACAATTGAAATTAGAAGCAATATGGTGTTCACTATCGGAATGCAAATTTTTTATGAAATTTTTACAGGGTAATTAAGGTTAAGTAAAAATTTACACATTTCAGGTTGTTTACTGTGTATGTAATGGTGGGCAAAAGTTCTTGTAGAATATAATGACTTTAATTCAGCTTTAAGATATTTATATGCATACAAATTTAAAAGTCAGAGAGATCCAGCAAAAGGCAAAGAGCAAGAAGTTTGCTTTTAAATTCTGAAACCAGCTGTGCTCTTTTTGCATGGTAAGAAAGATTGTTCCAGAGCATTGGTTTCACCACTATACCTAGCACTGCATGTTTGTTTGAGGAAATTAGTTTTTGGCCTTGGATTAGTGCTATAGATCAGATCATGCAGTTTCAAGATTCCTAAGGTTATAGTTGACTTAACCATCATTGAGTTTTGTAAAGGATCAAGACTCTCACATGGGGAGAAGGTAATGATCATAGAGGATATTGTACATGAGGGTAGCCCTATCCTTGGTTTGCAACCATGTGACAAGGCGGCCATGTTGGGGTCAAAAGAATAGAATTTTTTCTGGAAGAATTTACATGAAAATAGAGTTTAGTTCCCAGAGGAGAGGAAAGCTTTTGTTCTTGAGCACCAACATGGCCGCCGTGACGTGATGTGCGTGCAAACCAGCTCTTCTATAAAATAATGCCTGATTTTGAGGCTTTTCTATTTCAATTTATCAATCTACCAATCTAATGGCATAATGGTAAACTCATAATGTCTTTACCTGTACAGTTTGGACTTATTTTGTGATTTATCTTTCAGTTGCTCTCTACAAGTATTCGACACGGAAAAACAGTTATAAAAGTAAGTAACGGGCGTAACATGAGGTTATAGGGGTTACAAAAGGTTACTCGGGATTACAGGAGTTACAAGGGGTTACAAGAGGTTACAGGGGGTTACAAGGGGTTACAGGGGGTTACAAAGGGTTACAGGGGGTTACAAGGGGTTACAAGAGGTTACAGGGGGTTACAAGGGGTTACAGGGGGTTACAAAGGGTTACAGGGGGGGGTTACAAGGGGGTTACAGGAGGTTACAGGGGTTACAAAGGGTTACAGGGGTTACAAAGGGTTACAGGGGATTACAAGGGGTTACAGGGGGTTACAGGGGTTACAAGGGGTTACAGAGGGGTTACAAGGGGTTACAGGGGGTTACAAGGGGGTTACAGAGGGGGTTACAAGGGGTTACAAGGGGTTACAAGGGGTTAAGGGGTTACAGGGGGTTAAAGGGGTTACAGACAGACAGTACCAGATGGTTACAGATGATTACAGGGGTGTTGCAATGGGTTATAGGGTGGTTAATAACTACAACATGAAATTATTTACCTGCACTAGCCTCACACAACAAAAAGCTGATTTCCAGGTTGGGCGTAGGCAACCACACATAACAATTGAAATTAGAAGCAATATGGTGTTCACTATCGGAATGCAAATTTTTATGAAATTTTTACAGGGTAATTAAGGTTAAGTAAAAATTTACACATTTCAGGTTGTTTACTGTGTATGTAATGGTGGGCAAAAGTTCTTGTAGAATATAATGACTTTAATTCAGCTTTAAGATATTTATATGCATACAAATTTAAAAGTCAGAGAGATCCAGCAAAAGGCAAAGAGCAAGAAGTTTGCTTTTAAATTCTGAAACCAGCTGTGCTCTTTTTGCATGGTAAGAAAGATTGTTCCAGAGCATTGGTTTCACCACTATACCTAGCACTGCATGTTTGTTTGAGGAAATTAGTTTTTGGCCTTGGATTAGTGCTATAGATCAGATCATGCAGTTTCAAGATTCCTAAGGTTATAGTTGACTTAACCATCATTGAGTTTTGTAAAGGATCAAGACTCTCACATGGGGAGAAGGTAATGATCATAGAGGATATTGTACATGAGGGTAGCCCTATCCTTGGTTTGCAACCATGTGACAAGGCGGCCATGTTGGGGGTCAAAAGAATAGAATTTTTTCTGGAAGAATTTACATG